TACTTTATCCTTGGGGTCATCTTTAAGAATCCTTCCCCTGCACTTCCCAGAAAATAAGCCCCAGAGCCTGAAACAGTCTTTTCTAAGCAGACTTCTTAGTCATTAGGCCAATACAATCTCACATTATCTGAGTTGAAAGGAAATGGATGAGTCATGTACTCCAACCACCCAGCTAATGCTTGAATGTCTCTACAGTGTCCTAACAAGTGGCTGTCTTTCCTGAGCTGGGCCAATTTTAGGAAGTTCCCTTTCACAGGCAACTCCAACTTTGGCAGCTTCTGCTCTCTGCTGTGCTCTTTCATCACAGATCCCATGGGCCACACGGAGGACAAAGACTGATTTGAAAGGTCTGGGACGCCTTGGGGCAGCTGCTTTAGGATGGCCTGAATATTTGACCCCCGATTATCGATTATCGCAAGGTGGATTCTGGGAAGGCATAAACTCCCAGGCATTCCAGAGGCTCCCCGAGTTCACACATGGTAAGGGCTGTGGTGCGGGAGTCAACACAAGGCTCTGTGGGAGACTCTGGGACCTTACAGTCTTCTCTTTCCTCCAGGACAGGGCTAAACAGCTTTATTGGTTTCAAAGCATTGCTTATTTCCTTGGTCACTGTAACTAACACCCTGGCCTCCTAACTATGGAATGTCCCTCCTGGGCCCTCTACCTACAGAGTATGGCAGTGAATGACCTGTTGTAACTAGGTCTGTGTAATTAGGTGTGAATGCAGAGTGGGCAGGTCATAGAAAGGCCTTTCTTCCCAGTATGAGGTGTAGAGTCACTTTGAGACTGCACAAAGTACCTAGTTTCCTTACCTTCACTATGGGGAAAAGATTTGGGGTCAGAAAAACAAAGGAGCAAACTATCTGCCAAACAGTATCTCCACCCTTTATTCTATCTCTTCTCCTCTCCTCTAAAGCTGAAGTAAGCAGATTTAAGCCTTTGTTGGAAGATCTCTCTCTCTCTCTCTCTCTCTCTCTCTCTCTCTCTCTCTCTCCACAGTCCCTCTTTCTGAACATTCCCCTCTTTTGGGTTCACAGAGCCTCACAATATACAGTTAAATGTTCCCTGAAAGCAAACCTTATCCTGGCCCCTAAGGTATTTATGTCCTTATAGGAAGAAAGGGCAATGATTTATAATCCCACATAACTGTGGCCAGATTAACATAGACTTTGGAAAAGGACAGAGGGGAAGGTCAGAAATTGTGTAGAAGAGAAGGATTGGGAAATAAGAAGGCTTGCCCCCTAACAGTTCCCGGGATGAGATGCCCTTGCGTGGTATTAACCATATAGAGGCCAAATCCACAACTCCTCTCCCCTCCTTGGTCAAAGCTCCATCTTTTCTGGTGATTACATCTAACTCCTTCCTTCTATGCTCATTGGAACAGTGATGTGGTGTTGACCTTGGTTAGCCTGGGAATTGAGGTCTCCCCTTTGCTACTTTGGATTCACCATGTCCCAAAGCAGATCTCTAGTTAACTTCTCTTCTTTAAAAAGAAAGCCTCAGTTAGAGCCACTGAGTTTCCATGTCCAAAACAAGCTCTGGAAGGGTGGATCCTAGAGCATTCTGGAATGTTGACCATGATACTGATTTTTCCTTGGGAAATTATACCCTGGTGACTGACCACACTGAGGCTCTCGATTCTCTTGAGACAGCTGAGTATCTGAGGAGATGCTCAATTTTGTCTAGCCGCAAGAATGTATAGTAATATCAACACAGATGAAAATTTAGGGGCTGGAGAGCTCTGTGAGAACAAAATTCAGGGACTAGTGATTATCAGCCTCTGAAGGGAAAATTGTGATGGAGGCCTGCTATAAGAGCAGATCAGAAGACAAGGAGCCAATAACTGACCTCAGCCCAATACAGTATTATCTTTCATTAATGTATTTGAGTTACTATTATGAGCCAACCAATAAGTATTTTGTAGATAACTTGGGGAATCAAGCACTTTCATCCCATGGACTAAAGAAATATAAAACTTGATCCAGGGATTAAGAAAATAGAGGTGGGACACTGTCCTTAGTCTTCTTCATTTTCTCTCCTGCTATGGTCTTATCCATCCAACCATCATGTCTAAGCAAATGGGCTCTGGATCTATATCACCAACCCTAAAGACCCATCTGAGCTCCAGATACATACTCCAACCGCTGCCTAGACATTCCCATTACAATATATGTTTACATCTTCCCCAGTTTTTACATATCCTGAACCAAATTCATCCATCAACCTCACTTCTACACCCTTCACAAAACTGTTCATCTCTCAGTTTGTAATGCTTCTGCCTAAAATGACCTTCTTCTCTCTCTTGAATCAATGTCCCACTCTTCGTTAAGATGATTCAGATCTCATGTTTTCCACATATAAAATGCCTGGGTGCAATGAAACACTATTTACTGAACCCAATATTTAAAGATCCAGGTAAGTGGCTAAGTCCTCTGTGAAGGCCCCATCATCTCTCCCAGGCAGAAGGACCTCTTCCTTCTCTGGACTTCCAGAACACTTTATTTGAAAATGTCCTTTCTACATTCATCCTCTCTTTCAAATGCAAGTATTTAATGTCTTTATACTTCAAAAATATTTCCACTTTCTAATACATTTGGTAATTTCACATCCAGCAGACACAATCATGCCATCCTGGAGTTCTTCTTCTTTGAACTAACTAGTGCTTCTGTGGCCTTCTCATCCAATAGTGATGGGTCACACACTCTGCTTCCTTGTAAATGCCACATTCTCACTTTGTAATCACGTGTGCCCTTGAAATACCTTATTAATTGTGAGTGTGTACATCTAAGTGACAAAATAACTCATGGTCCCTCAAAAGAGGATGATCTTAGAGTCAAATACAGGTGCTGTGGATGCTTTCGACTTGTGTTCTGCTCTTATTAGGTGTGTGATCTTGAGCAGCCCACTTATCTTGTCTGAGCCTCAGTTTCCCCAGTTGTAAAAAAGAAGGTAATGCTCACCTTGGAAGATTCAAACTGTGCTGTCTCTCACTCCATGAGCTGCATCCACCATGTCTTCAGCTTCACTTCTCACCCACACTTTCCTGAGAAAATTTTGTATTTTTCAGGCATCAGCTTAAATGCTATACTCCTTAGGAAGTGCTTGGCACTCGAAGATCTGCTGTCTTTTCCGTGTGCTCACTTATTGTAGTGCTTCTGCCCCGTCTCAGCACTTAGCCTCTGAATTGTAAAGGTCTATTTCTCTTGCTTTTTTCCCCTGCACTGAGAAACTGCAAACTCCATGAAGACAAGAATCATGATTTGTTAACTACCACATTCCACCTTTGATCCGTCCCATTCACTTTTGATCTAAGGAAAATGAAAAAAAAAACAAGTAAGCCACATTAGGTAAGGAATTTACAATTCTGAGAGTCTGAAAAGATGCCAATATCTCAGAGTGCTTCTTAGCTTGCACTGCAACAATTCAGTTCATCAAATCACTGGCTCCATCCTAGAATGGCACTAGGCACTATGCAGTGATCTCCTTCAATACAGAAATCATGTGATCTGTCTTCTGATCTGATGCTAAAGCCCAATAGTTTCCAATTTTATGAGATTTATGACCAGTTTTGTGTATGTGACATTACCTAAATCTCCAACATAATTAATTTTCCTAGGGTATTCTCATCAGTGATAGCAATTCCCAGTTTGTTTGGCACCCATAGTTGAAAATATCTTATTTTAAAACTCAGCAACATGTAAACTTATTATAATAATCTAGGCACTTTATCATAAATGGAAGCAATGATCACTATGGTGTTATCCTCTATTTATTTTAGATGGTGTAACTTCTGAAGTGACGTTTATTGAACATTATGGTTTAGAGAGGAAGATCTCGGGTCAGATGGCCCATGTGCCAACCCCACCCTGTTATGCACTAGCTAGTAATGTTAAGGAAAGTGATTTCATTCTCTGTGCCTCAATTTCCTAGTCTATAGAATGCAATCATATTATTTGCATTATAGGGTTATTGTATGGGTTAAATGGGCTAACATGTAAAGGCTTATAGCAGTACCTAGCAGCTGCTGTGAATACTCTATAAATTTAAACTATTATTATTTGCTAAAGATGAATCAAATAGAAGAAGAGTGTTTGGATAAGATTACCTTCAAATTTCCTGCCATTCCTGAATGAAGTTCTCTGTCTCTATATCACTGTAATCCCTCAGAATTCCTTTTCAGTAGGGAGGGGGCAGCATTATCCACATTTTACAAACAATGAAATTGAGCCACAGAGAAGCAAAATGTGCAGTAAATGAGTGGCAGCAGGGCTCAAGTTTGTAGATCTTGGTGTAGAACTAGGACACATTTCAGAGTGATGTGAGGTTGTGCATGTAAGAGTGAGTTAGATATCCTTTATGAACTTGGGAGCAGTGACCCCTTGAAGCCCCTTCTCTCCATTGATGCCCAACAAGGTCACTTCTGTCTCTCTCTCTGAGATGGTCTCAGGCTCTGTCTTCCCAGGAAGTTTTCAAATTAGCTTTAACAAAAGCTAAATTGTGGAGTTGGATGAGGTGCTAGTTAGATACTGTCGCCTTGGTCCTGGGATTTCCACTTCCATCTCTGGGTGTGCCGGGTATGCACATTCCTCACCTGGCTGCAGACTCTGACTTTTAGATGATTCCCTCTACTGAGCCAGGACCTTAAAATACTTGGCAACCTCACAAGTGACCCTATCCCCAAACATTCTGCCCCAACTCTATTCCCCAGATCCCATTCCACCCTTTCCTTTTCATGCAATGATGGACAAAGGATCTTCAAAAACCCCTTCCTTCTCCCTCCTTCTTCCCACTAGGTTATCCCAAAGGAAGACTGTCCTCTTCAGAACCAGGCTGAGTGGTTGCAGCCCCTAAGTCTAAGGGTGGAGGGAGTGTTCCTGTGCTTGAATTGAGACGGTTCAAGAGAACTTGAGGTGCTTTTCTTTTCTGTCCACTAGGGGGATGCTTGTAGAGGGATGGAAAAAACAGAGGCTTAAAAAAATATGCTGCTGAAATTTCAGCAAGAGAGAAAAAGAGAGAGCGAGCGAGCGAGAGAGAGAGAGAGAGAGAGAGAGAGCGAGAGAGATAGCAAAGCAGCTCCAGACTTCCTCATCTCGTTCACGTCAGAGGCAGGAACCGACTGTGCTAAAGCTGTTGGCTCAACACGCAGAGACTGACAGGAGCCCAGAGAGAGGGAGAAAGGAGGGGTCCTTCCTGACCCAAGGAATTACCACTAGTGGAGTAAAGCCGCCTGACTTTTTGATCTTATTTTGGTTGTCTCTTCTTTCTCCTTCCACTCGTAGCCCTGCTGTGGAGCCTCCTCTCTTCGTCTCAGAAAAGGTGGAAGGGAAAAGAAGGGAGAGAGGTGGGCTCTTAGGTGAGAGCATCAGCTGGGTCCAGCCCTAAGAGATAAGAATTCTCCTCGCAGGAAGCTCCTCTTTCTCCTGGCAGCTCACCCCCAGCCCGGGTAAGTCCAGAGCACTCCGCTCTTTCCCTTCCTTGCTAGCGTCATTTCAGCACCAAGGAGAGCGGTGAGATGCATCTTGGTTCCTGTATGCCTGCGTGTTCCTGCAAGGCATTTGGCACTGAGGTTACATTTATCTCTCTGCTGCCGGGAGAGCTGGGTTCTGCGTAGCAAAAGAAAGGTGCCAAACTATGTCTACCGAATGAAAGAGGGATGTGGACCCCGGCCTTGCGGTGTGCGTGAGTGTATGTGCGTGTGTGCTGTTGCATAAGACAGGTGAGGGCTGAGCTAAATTGCTGGTGGTTTCTGTGCGCCTCTGTGTGAGGCTGTCCTTTTCGTATGTAGATAAGGAGCGTTGGGAAATTAATCGTGCACCTTCTTTAGCTCTTTCTCACTTCATGGTGGGAAAGTGTTGCAAAGGAAGCCTGGTGGTTGGGAGTGAAGGTAGAGTTAAAAGTTGTGCTCCTCCGAGGCAGCTTGGAAGAAGGGATGTTTGAAATACCAGTTTCCCCAGGATTCACTGGGTTCTTGCTGTGGAGGGAGCCGAACCTGACCTTTTACTTTTTCTCCTGGTGTGAATTCATGGCAAGTGGGTAGGTGCAACAGGTGAGGCTCAGGTTGGGGCAGGTTGGGGGCTGAGGTCTTTCCGATTTCATGGCAGCAGGAAAGTGCCCATGTCTTGAGCCTTACGGGGGTTGGGTACATTTACAAGGAGGCAGGAGGTGCCTTCCACTTTTCTGTTATCCTTGGCTATGTGTGGTTGGAAAGAGGACAAAAATCTATTCTGCCCTATTTTCTGGGGCATCTGGCAATGAAAAACAGCTCAGAAGAAAGATCTTTCTCGATGTATCTGGAAAAGCAGAAATGAACGTAGACTGGCCCTTGACTTGGGGAGATTGAAGTGGTACTCTGCTTCCCCAGCACCAAGGGGCTCACAAACGGGAGTGTGGCATTGCTTCACACATTTTGCACTGCTCTCTTTTCTGCCTCCTGCCACTCTGAGTATGTTTAGTCAACTACCTGTACCTGCTTTACTTTTGCCTTGGAGACACTATTGCTTGCTTCCCTCCTTCAGTCCTGCCCAAACCTACTTGGATGGGGCAGTTCAACAAGTGGTGTCAGGTATTTTCTTCCAGTCATGCAAGCCAGTCTCCCAAGGGGGATTTTAAAGAGATGTAGCTTCTTGGAAGATCAAGCCTTGCCTTGATCTGGTCTTTAATTCTGTAAGGTTCCAGTTGCTTCATTTAAATATATTGAAGCAGGGGAGGCCTGAGAGGTGGGGGAGTTCACTCATTCAACCCTGATCAAACCCTAGTGTGATGGCTCTTTGTTCTGTTTTAAATTGAGCACCATGGGACCCCCCCTAGGAGAAGAAAAGATTCCCTAGCTCTGGTTCCAGACCCCCTTGAGTGAGAGATGTAGTTCTGAGTGAAGTGGTATTGCTTTCTTTTTTACTATGCCTGCTACTGAATCCGGAAACTTGAGCATCTCCTTAGCATGGCAGTTAGTAGAATGTAGTGTGGAAAAGAGAGTGATGTCAGAAGTTGTAAAGGGAGGGGGCAAAAGATTGAAATAGACAAATGCAAACAACCAGATATGGACTCTGACTCATTCATATTTCAACTTCCTGTCCTTGAAATTCCTTTGTTTGGACAAGTGAGTGGATGGATTCCTGCATGACATATCTCATAAATTAAAAAAAAAAATCATGCCCTTGCAGTGGACCCTGTCCAAAGCCATCATTTATTACTGAAGTCACCATATTTAGTGGTCATTATCTCATTAATGCCCCTAAATTCTCTCTGAAATAAGTGCTCAGCTACATTATTGAGCCCATTGTTTAGAAGGAGACACAGATGTTTAAAGTGTTAGGCCAGATAGTGGCAAAAGCAGAAATAGAACTTCTGGTCTACTAATATTCATCACCTGGAAAATGCAAAAATGCTCATTTGTGGGAGAGCAGGGATGATTGATATACAGCAGACAGATTTGCAACCAAAACCTTTTGGTGAACTCCCTGTGAAGCAATGGGCTTTCCCTTGTGAAGAATGAGAATCAGCCCAAAGTCTCCAGTCACTGCTGGCTTTTAGTTCTCAGCCAGGTGACGAGCTCTCTGAGCTTACTGTGAAGAAAGAACCCTGGGCTGGCAGCCACCAGGCTGGACTGACACTATTTACCTGATTGCCACATTCATCTAGTCCCAGAAATCCCAGTTGAAGGCACTCTTCCCAGGAAACAATGCCATAGATAGTCACCTATGGATTCCTGTGTTTGATGATTTTTTCTCCTACGAGCCTTCTCTGGGACCACCTTGGGTGCTCCTCTGTGGCTCAGAATGTGGGCAGGATGGTTAAGGAGCAGGACAGGGCAGGATCCTACTACCCAGAGGAAGAGAGGAACTGGACACAGACTCACCCCACCTACAGAGCCTTCACTGCTCTAGAAACTCCAGGTTTCCTACCTGGACAGAATTCTGGAGAGAAAACCACTACATTCTCACATTCAGCCCTCCTTCACCAAGCAGAGGATACTCCGTTGGGCTGCCTCTGGGATCCTGAGAGAGGAGAAGTGGTGGAGAAAGGTGCAGGGAAGGAGAAAGTCAGAATCCTGCTCTATTCTCCATGGCTGTAGGTTGCTGTCTTCTACCTGGAAGATGGTATACTTTGCATATAAAGAATTAAATGTTTAGATCGCTAATTTTTGACAGTTGTGTGCACTCATTGTACCTCTTCCCAAACAAGATATACAAAATTCTCTTTTACTTCTTTCTGATCAAACTTTCCGACCCCAATCCCATCACTTTTGGACATCTACCATCACAGCATACACTGGTGCACTGTACAGTAGAAATGTATAGCTGAATGTGTTACTGAGAGATGTGGATACTAGAATTTTAAGAGAACATTTCAGAGTTCTGAGGTTACTATCACTGGGTGAGTAGCAGAAAAGCGAGGAAGGTATGCATTCTCTGCCCCAGTTTGAGGTCAGGTGTTAGAAAGCCAACTGGTCATTTCCACCGTGGATATAGGAGGCAACAATCAAATCCAAACAGAAACAGTGGAAGTTCCTGCAGGCCCTTGCCTGGGAGCTGACCTGAGTTATATGATGATACAGTTCATAGTGATGATGTTGAAATTTCTATTAAAAATGTGGAATTCAGTATTCAGGTGACTGGTCATGAGTCACCCTATCTGGGCTCCAGGAGAGAGAGCTGAGGAGAGAAAACCCATGCAGGCTTACTTAGTAGGGAAAGAGCAAAGAGTTCACTCACTGTGTTAGCACTTATGCCACGACATTCAGCTCCATCCACAAAGGCCTTGGCTGAGGAAGGTGCTGTTCCTTCGTATTCAGGAGTGGCTTTAGAACCAGAAGCTGCTGGCTGAGGCTCACGGACCATCATAGCTCTGTCCAGGGATTTCTGCATTCAACTTACTCTCGTCCCCAGGTTGTGCACTCAGATAGGGAGTGTTTTCTATTTTACAAAATTAAGAAAAAAATATGAGAAAAGAAGAAAAAAAAAGCAGAAACAAAGTTTTTTGTAAATCGAGAGAGGTAGAGGGCAGGGGAATGGGGGGAAAAACAAGAACCAAGATATATCATGTACAGGTACACAAATTCCCAATGATGAATGTGATCATAATGTATACCTAAAATGTACCAATAAAATTAATGAATATGGGCCAGGGATTTGGCTCAGTGGTTCTGCCGCCTGCCCTGCAAGTGCAAGGGCCCGAGTTCCATCCCTGGTACCAAAAAAAAAAAAAAGTTAATGAATAAAAAAAAGAAAGAAAGCACATGTAGCTGACATCAGCAAAAAAAAAGAAAAGCAATAGACTTATCAGAAGGTTTTGATGACTTTGTTGAATATATAGATGTTTGTGAGTTGTACTTTTGTGTGTGGCATCTGCACACACACACACACACAAACACACAACTTATCCTGACATCTGGCCTGTCCAGTTATCTTCCTTCCCTTCTACTTCTAGTTTAAGGACCACTAGGTAGAGATGAGGAATTCTGTACACAGTTTAAACATGGGACCCTCAATAAACTCAATTAAGAAATAAGAGTTTTTGGCAGATTGGTCAGCAAATGAATCTTTAGTAAGCCTCAAAATTGGTCTAGGTCAGTCCTGGACCAGTTTACATGCTTGGTGTGAGTAGTCTCCTCATCTGCCTCCCTCCATTCAGAGACTTTTGCTACAGCCCCCAGAGGTTTTTCAGTGCTGGGAATCCAACTCAGGGCCTCGAGCATGCCAGACAAGTATTTCACCACTGAGCTAGAACCTCACTCCACTAAAGCACTTGTTTCCAGCGACTTGCCCTTTTCTGGGTTCACCTTCCTAGACCATGCATGAGCCAGGTATTTTATGGAAAGGCTCTTCAGCCATCTCTCCCAGTTGGGATTCCATAGAGTAGAGTAGATTATGGGTTGCTAATCCCATGGAAAATTAGAAGACAGACAAAGTGAGATTTAGATTCCCTAAAGTCTGGGCAGAATATGGTACAGGATACAAAACCTAAAGAGTGTCCACAAAACCAATTGTAGTAGATGATTTGACAGAAGAGCAGGGATACCTTTCACTTGTCATGATTTTGAGCTATATTAATAAAGATGAGATTCTCCACCTAATTAGAGTTTCATCTTCTTAAGAGCAAGTCCAGTGGGGAAGGAGAAATTGGAATAGAGTTGTTTAAAAGCTATTTCCCACCACATATACGACTCTCTACATCTTTACCTTGAAACATGACTTAGGGCTAGAGCTGTATTGATACATTTTTAACACAGTAAGTAATGAGTATGTCAGTTGTCAAAGGGAATTCAACAATCTTACTCTCTTCTCTTTCTCTCCTTTTCATTCTGTTTATCATTTTGGTCACTTTAAAGTACATAGTTTGGTGGTATTAAATACATTCACATAGTTGTGCAACCATCACCATCACCAAATTCTTGTGTCCAAATTTCTTTCCTTTTTGTGGCTGAGTAATAATCCATTGTATGCC